TGTGCCGTGATAAAAAGTGCCTATTTTTTCCTTCTGCATAAAGTTTATCACCACAGGTTTTTATATACAAACCTATTATTATTTTTAATATTGATATAATAACTAAACATGAATTTTAAAAGCAAAGTTTATTTAGTTACATTTTAACGTTTAGCTCAGAGACTAGATATTTTCCCGCGGTAAAAAGTATCCTATATGTTGACCGGATAACCAGCTATCATCATAACAAATTTCATCAAAATCCCTTCAGTGGTTTTTTCCGTGATGCGGTCACAGACAGACAGACAGATAGACAGACAAAAAATCTAAAAAACTATAGATTCGGCCTGTGTATTGATTATAATGTATATTTCAATAAGATTTAAAAAAAAAATTGTAAAATTTATTGTACAGATTCGGCTTAGTTACAATTTTATTGTATGTATAGATTTTGTCAACTTTTGACTGTTATTTTGACAATATTATATAGAAATGAAAAATAATAATAATTTAAATTTTTTTAAGTTGCTTTCAAGTAAAAAATCATAACATTAATTGCAACTTTATTTTAATTAATATCTACTCTACCACTTTCAATATACTAAGAGTCAAATTTAAATAAGAAATCTCATACTACTTTATAATCCATGCCACAGAGTAATTATAACTTGCAATTCTCGTAAGGTATTTAACCAAAGCCACTGAATATCTAATCGGGAGGTTCATTTTGTTTAACAGATCTATTAATTAAGCTGTAACCTCGATTTACGAGCTATTTGCATTAGTTCGATTTTGGATTGCGGTAGTGAATATTCTCTTCCTACATATTATATACCTGTGTATTATTCAAAATAGACATCGTACTCAGCTAAATTTTATTAAAATCGTATAAGACTAGTTTTCATCCGCGTCTTTACTCGCGGGGCTCGTCGATTAAAAGCCTCTATATGTTAATCCATTCATTTAAATCCGTTGAACAATCACTTACAAAATATTTGTTTTTATAATAGAAACTAGCGACTCATTCTCGCTTCGCTCGTGTTTGTCCCTAGTTAGGTTTTTTTTTTTGAGCGGAACCCTAATTCTTTTTCTAAAATAAAAGTAGCCTATGTTACTCCCAATAATATCAGCTATATTTCAGTGAAAGTCCCGTCAAAATCAGTCCAGCCGTTTCAGAGATTATCCGGAACAAACAGACAGACAGTCAAACAGACGGAGAGACAGACAGACAAAAAAATTAAAAATTTTGTTTTTCTTCGCGTCCATTATTAAGATTAATAAGTAATAGCGAAAAGAGCAGAGAGTGATGCTCTCTCTTTCTAATCTTTTAAAATACATGTATTATTCATAATAATAAATCTATAGTGATTTATACGTGTAAATATAATTTACCTTTGTTGAAAAAAAATTTTTAGACCGTTGCAAAATACTAGCTATTATTTCTCTTGGTCTCTCTCAATGAGACATTTAGTAGTTTTTGGGATATGAAATTACTTGACTTCCAGGCACTAAAATGTAAAAAATAACCAAAGGGAGGTTTTCATTTAGAACAGAACCAATCCGTTTTTTTTCAAAGTCGGTGCCTGCCGATGCAAAGCAAATCTAATATATTTCAATATGTAAAATAAATATTTATCTATTAGATACTATACCTTCAAATATTGTAGGCTACTTTTTATTTTCCTACAAAAAGTTACCTACGTCTTTCCCCAATGTCCAATCTATCTCTATAGTTCATCAAATTTGGTTCAGTACTTAAGGCGTTTAAACGTAACAAACAAACAGACAGAATCGCTTTAGCATTCACAACATTAGTTTGGATATAAAACCCTAGACAAAACCAGGTACGGTTTCTAGTTATTAGAAGCAACCTTACCTGGTTTTATATACTTATAATGTATATCGAGACTTAGCAGCAGAAAATAAATTAATTGCTGAAACTGAAGCATCGATAACTTGTTAACGAGACTAATTTGCAGTTTCAAAGTGAATTTCTAATCTCTTCAACTACTACTTAGAATTTAAAAAGTTTACTTTAATATTCTTTTTAATATATTAATACACTTTATATATTAAAAAGAAAAGAAAAACAGGCAATAAGAAAAATATTTTACTAAAGATATAATAAATGAAGATTTTGGTAGCGATACGATCGTTTAATAATATTTACAAAATCATAGGATTGCTAAACAATAATAAATCTACATATTATGTAAGTATGTATATTGTAATTACCAATCAAATCGTTTACTTTTAGATTTAATTCGACTTTTGTCTGTTTGTATGCGAAAAACATGTTCAATGGAATTTAATACCTAAAACAGAAATAAAATAAAGAATACTTTATTTTAATTTTCAGCTAACTTTGTTACATGTCTCTGCATTAATAAAACGGAAATATATCAAATATAACTTAATAAATGTTAGTTTACAAATGATAACACATAAATCAATGTGAGGATTACAAATAAAGCAGAGTCAATGTTAGCGTAATGAGAGCCTGGGGCTCGAAATGTGAACTAAAGTCTAACCTAAGCCAGGGGTCGTCAAGTTTGTTCCGCGTGCCTAGATTTACAATATTACGATAGTTTGTGTTTTGGTAAAGATATTAAATGGTAATATTTAAAAAAAACACCCAGAAGATTTTCTGTGTAAAACGTACACCCCTAATATTTATGATACATATCATATATATATGAAACGTGAAAGTTTGTGAAGATGTATGAATGTACGAATGTTCCTTACTCTTTCACACAAAAAGTACTGAACAAATTTTGATGGAAATTTACAATAATATAGCTTATACATAAGTATAAAACAGGCTATTATTTATAAAGATTTAGTAATACGTGATTGTGCTCCGCGGGCGGAGTCTTTTACAATGCTAGTATATAATACAAAGAACAAATGCATTCACGCATAGATAATGTTGACTATGTCAGCCAATTATTTTTTAACAAGGAAGGCACAGGTCCCATTAGGGGTGGAATTTTATTTGAGTATGGAACCTTGAACAAAAGTGTTATATGTTTTCATTGGAAAAAAGAATTATTATGAATTGATCATAATAACAATTGGCAAATATTTTGCTTTATATACTCACAAAAAAGATGGAGTAAATATCTCTTCCTTTTTGAATTTTGGTCAAAATTTTTATTTATTATGTCATACGAAAACTGTGACGAAAATCAAAGAGATAGCTTTCAACAGGCGAACGTTATTTTTCACGCTTACGGGTAAGCACAGCCTTCTCTTACTTCTTTCTTACAAAAACCTGTCCTATTAAAAAAAATATCTTGCGTGAAACAAAGTAAAACTAACAAAAACACTTTCAATTTTAATTTTAATAATATTATGTTCGTATAATAATTTCTGTAAGTAGCACTTTTGAATTTCCAGGCAAATCAGGCAAAAATTTAATATATTATTATAATTATTACTTACAATTCAAAATAGCATCCCGAACTAGCTTCACTCCTTAAGATGTACTGGAGTGTAGTTAGAAACTCTTTGGTGGTCTTCGAATCTTTTAGTTATTTTATACAAAATTATGTAAATAGGATATTTACTTTCTAACTATAAAAAGGTACACCGACTTAAAATCGATTTAATAGTAATAACAATATATTAATTATTTTAGCCATACAGCATTTATATGATACCACAATTCTTTCCAAATACATAAAGCGATACCGATAAAAAATATATAATAACTATCTAACGGAATCATAAAAATAGAATTATGAAAATGGTTTTTTGCGAAGATATTGCGTTACTTACATCCAAATTGAAGGTGAAGGTACGCAGTTCAAAGTGGAAGGCCATTTTAAATCAATCAAAAAGCCTTTGAATCTATTATTTACATTTATATAACAAAAAAAAATAAACCAACAAATAAAATTGCGTGCTTATATTTTTATATGAGTCAGGATAATAAGTAATAGATAATTTTGTTATTCTAAACATTTTAAATGTAGTAACAAAAAAAATTATGTTCTCTGAAGGTATTGTCCCTTTCTAAATCTAATTTGAATACCCCTGACCTAAAGCTAAGCTAACAGAGGTATCAAATAACTTGCAAATTAAACAGTAGGTTCGTTTAGGATTTTAGTTCCAGGGCAATACAAATTCAAACAACTATTTATATCACAACTAGTATTGCCCGCGGCTGCGCCCGCGTTCAGATGACCAAAAAAGAGAACTTGAATCAGAGCTGTTACTGAGGCTTACTTATACAGAAAGACTCAGTTACTAAACATGGCCCGACCCGGGACTCGAACCCAGGACCTCCGGGTGTGCAGCCGTACATGCTAGCCACTACACCACCGAGGCAGTCAAATACTTATAGATAGTATCCAGCAATATTAATTATACTTGAAATGTAGAACAGCATGAAGTAAAAAACTGCAGTTTGTCACGACAGGCCGAGAACAACAAAATATTTATACTAATGAGGTGCAAGGATATTCATAGTAAATATTAATTGCAATTTATAACAAATATAATGGAATAAAACAAATATAACAAAAAATCGATTCTAAAATAGTGTATTCTTAAAAATATCGATATCAATATTTACATTTTGATAATCGTTTAGTTAATTTATATAAAATAAGTAAGCATAATTTAGTTTAAATTATACAAGTTATAAGTAGCTAACCTATTTATTTTATGTACCTTCCTAAAGCTCTTTAAAAGTAAAAATTGCCACTCTTTGTTGCATTGAAACTTTTTTATATCAAGACAATAGGCGAACTTACGATAAGTCTTTTTTGCGAATCATAGACGTAAAATGCTTTTTTTTTCTTTATTCTTAAGAGCAAGTACTAGGCATAGGAAGTACTAGGTCTTCAATTCTTAGGGAGCTGTAGGAGGTAATGGCACATCATCTCAATACAACGTTCATTTACATTTTAAAATACTTCCAGCGAGTAAATGTGGTGAATTTTGTACAAACTAGGTGATTTTTTATGTATCCCTTATATGTACGAGTAATTAAGGAGGTGGTAGAAGGCGCCCTTATGAAGAAGACGAAATCAGTCAACGTCTGCACATTGTGGACTTTCTTTGATCTTGTTAAGAACGACGACGGTTTCACAGAAGGAGTCATGTCATACCAGCACTCTTCAATATGGAGAATACCTTTAACAATGTTAAACCTTTGCTACAAGAACTTTCCACTCCCAGGGCACACTGCCTCCACCGTCATTATGCCATGCAACGGAACTCACTCCAGAGTGGAGTCAGATCTTTATCGGGCGACGTCCTGATCCCACAAAAGCCTCTCACTAATTATCATTCCTAAAATAGGTAATCCAACAAAATATTAATTATTCCTCTTATTGAAGTAGAAAGTTTTACCCAAATGTCAATGGGTAACTGAGTTAAATAATTTATAACGAGCTAAGACCTTGATTCTGGCTCCAATTAAAGTTTTAATGGATGTATTTGTTAAATTTAAATATAGTTTGGCCGTTTTATGTAAAATGACCGCTGACCGCATCGAGAAAGTTACTTTAAATTTCGATTTCATACTGCTATTTAAAAAAAATGTTTTATTAAGTATAGATATAAAAATTTTGCTTAAAAGAGAAATATTTTTGCATTAGATAGCACGTTTTTTTAGGCTATATATAGTCATATTTTTTTTAACGTTGGGAAATGTATTTACGCACGAGATGTGGGACTCACCGGCAAAGCCAGTACTACCCACTAAAACCCAATAAAACCTTCCCCCATCTTAATGGGGCATCGCAGGATCGCTTACGCATTCAACTACGACGCCCCGACGGCAGGTCTGCCGAAGCAGACCACAACGACCATGGGGTTGCTCCAAGGTCCACTCTGCTATCAGAGAAGTACCAGGAGCAACCTGCATGGTACACCGTCCACCGAAGAGGGCCACCTCCCACCGCCCACCGAAGTGGGCCACCTCCCTGTGCGTTTCTTGGCTTTTTGCCCGGCTAGATTGCCGAGCACTACTGAGCCCCCCACCACGACAAGGTGAATGAAGGTGGCTATCATGCTACTATGAGCGGAGCAATAATATAATATATAGTCTATCTAATCCATGTTAACCTTTAAAGCGACACAGGACGAACCCGAGCGAAGCAAGGTTGAGCCGCTGGCAATTACATATATACCTAATAGTATGTTTATTTATTTGAAATACACAAAAATATAATATACAATATATTTACCACGACAATTATCTCCATTTCTTAAATAGAATCCATAGGCTTGTCATGCATGCTTGAATTTAATTAGATTTCCAAATTCGTCTTAGAAATAATTACAATTTGTCCCCACTATATAACTTTCGTATAGCTATTATATATGGCGGAGGCGAGCAATACAACCCTATTCTAAATTATTCCAAATCGTAATACATTCCCGTTTCTATAATCTAAACCTACCAAGGTAATTTTCTCATACAATACATTCTTTAGAATAATCCGAAAAACCTTTTGTATTCTCCTCGTATTACGTTTCTAACCAATTAAAATATTTTCTTATTATTGTTAGATTAATCGGGCTGAATTAACATCTATATAGTATTATTTACATAGGACCTAGGTTCTATTCTTACCTAACCACTAGATTCTACGGTTGATTAGTGAATGTTACATTTCAAATTATGATGAATGGAAAATTTGAATCAATATTTTGTTTAAATATTTTTAAAGCATGTCTTAAAGAGGTCCACAGAGTAAAAATTTGTGTTAAAAATAATATTTTTTACCCAAGCTAACAATTTAAAACTTGATATTGGCAAGAAAACCGGGTTAGATCGTTATATACCTAACTAAAACAAATATAAGTTATTTCAAATCATTATATTTATGAATAAAATTTCTAATTTCTTAATACGATTGTAGCTTATACGAAAAGTTTATTGTTTTTATATGTTAGAATGTGCTGCAACATTATTATTTTATTTACTAAAGACTAACAAAATAAATATTTATTATTCTTGGTGACCACTTTGCATTTTTTCATGTATAGGTTCGTTAAAGTTACATAAAGCAGCTTACCTAATTACACTTCTGGAAAGGTGCTATTATATATTTTTGTATGTTATTTTTATATTATTATAATCTAAATCTTCACACGTGATGAGTCAGAATAATCTGACTGACTTATATGCTACGACCTCAGGATTAAAGAATTATATAGACGGTTTCCACCAAAATAAATAGCTAAGTGCAATATAGTAGAGGATTTGCTGTTTATGCTAATATTCTCGATTATGCCATACAGATTATTTAATTTTATCAAACAATAAAGGAAATTTTATATTAGGTAAATTAATGTGCAATTTTCGTTTGTTTGGCTTCATGTTTAGTTCTATGACATTCAGTCTATTATTGCTTAGTTTGAGTCTACGATAATAAAAAAATATAGTATTTATCTAGTATCTACTACTAAAGTTATATTATTACTTTCAATTTAGCGGGTGATTAGGGCTTAATTGTATTGAATTAATGCGTAATTCAACTTAAAATTAATTAAAGTCCAAGTAGTATCAATTACGAGAGTATTATTAGAGGTACAAGGTTATTAACTTTGATACCGCAATCAGAGAACACATCTTTTAATTACTTATAATCGCCTCAAACTTTCCTTATCAAGTTCTGATTACCCTTCAAATGAAGTAAAACGAGTCCGAGTCGCTATCATTGGGGTTCACATCTCCGGAGCGTCATTAGTTAATGTTGCGGGCAGTTCAGAAATTTCATCTCGGCAGAGATCAGACGACTCCTTCTTGATCTTATCTAAGCTTCATTACCGTTCCACGATATCGCCCTTTGACGTACGTACTACTCTATTAAGGTTTAGAAGAATTAAATATTAGAACTTTGGATTTTTTTGCAATTATTTGTATATATAATGTATAAAAGTGAAAATTTTGTTAATAATAAAATTGGTTGATAAAGACGTAATAATTATTATAAAAAAAAAACAATAGTAGAAAGGCCTTACTTGTTTGATCTAATTCAAAAATACTAATCGTAAGTAAATCCGAGCTTGAGTTTTAAATTACAAATGTACATTACTGGCAAGAAAATATTTCAGAACATTTGGTTACAAGAAGGCGGGGCGCCGTAGGGTCGGATCCCCTCTGAATAGAAATAGTTTTGAACCGAGGAATTACAATCGGCTTCGGGTCACGGGAATGAATTTTGATTTTACTTTTTCAGGAAAATAGAGCAGGATTATTGTACTCTTCATACCTATGCAAACACGTTTTCCACTGAATATTTATAAGGGCTACCTGCCTTACCCATCCTCTTTAGGATATGATAACTCGTAGCAATATACGCCAGATCAAGAAAGGCTTTGAAGGACATTGTTATAAAGATTCGTAGATTTAATTTGGCACTATTTTACAGTGGTCATGCTAGCGTTTTGAAAACCTTATTTTTTTTTCTTATAAATCTTTATACAAATGTATGTAAAGGATAATTTATATATCAATGTTACTGCATATTGTACAAAGATAATATTTAAATTATACGTATAGTATTACATTTGTTCATTCTATAAAATTTTTGCTTATTTATAGGCTCGGTATTTTTGTAGGTAGGGACTGTCTGTAATAATTATTTAATGACCTTTGAAACGTTTAAAACCTTATCTCTCCTGTAATCATGATTGTAGTAAAGCATTCGGAACGGATTTCGAGAACCGAAAATCTTGATACGAAAACCAAAAATCAAAATAAATCCACGAAAAAATCTGAAAAGGTAGTTTTATTTAAAATATCGAATATTCGGGTAAATATAAGAAAGTGTTAACCTCGGTTTGTTTTATTATATAAAATTGCATGTTCTCAAATATCAAAAGAATTGATATAAAAAGAAGGATTTTTGCTAGCACGAACTTTGATTGGTAGCCAATATTGGAATAACTACATCAACACTTAAATTTAACGAGATAGATGTATAAGTTTTATTGAAATAATAATGAAATTTAATTTATGTGTTGAATAGTTGGCTCGTAAGCGAGTAATAAAAGTCCTGGATATGATTATGGGAATAACTACATACTGCATGGCTGAAAAGAGTTTCGCAATTTATTATAGATACATATCTATAAAATAAAACTATAGCTATAGAGATTAGATTTAGCCCGCGGATCCGTTCAAATTTTAAATTATATTACAAAACACATTTACTAACTTACAAACTTTCATTTAATAATACGACGTCACGTTTGGCTCAGTTTGTAATGATCCTACTTGCTGTGCCAGCGGTCGCGGTTTCGAGTCCCGCTCGGGACATTCATTTGTGTGATGAGCATGTTTGTACTCCAGTCATGGGTGTTTATATTTATAATATGTATGTATTTAAAGTTATATATGTGTAGTTTATCAACTATCTGGTATCCATAACACAAACCTCGTAGTTTACCATATAACTAGATGGCGCTGTATGTTAATGTCCTAACATATTTATTTATTTATTATTATTTTATATTCATAATATTTTTGTGATATCGGTCAGATGCCTGGGCATAGTTGTCTAACTATTTATAAAATACAAAATATTCTCCTTACTCAAATACGAGTACCTACTGTTCATGACATAGAAATTGATGCACTGTAGCGCCTTTTAGTAACGAATTACAGACCAATTGTTGGCATAAAAATCTTCTCCGCAAGTAACGTAAAATGTTTCACATCATGTTTTTGCATCGAAATATTTATAAATGTTAATAATTACTGTTTGCTATATTATAGTAAGTTCTGGTTCTCAAGAAGGTTCTCTCTAATCAGTTACAAATTCTGCCCGTGACCACGGCTAGTGCTACCCAGCCAACAGGTAGTCGTCGGGAACAAGGTATTTTGCCACTTACGAGTATATACGCGCTTATTCCAGTAGTGTTGTTGTACATAAATTATATTTTGATATTAAAGATAGTAAGTAGTATCCGAAATAGTAAGAAATCCTATCAAGATTTGGGAATACGAGAAAAAACGTAAATCATACATGAATGAATGGAATACATAATCATAGGACCATAAAAAATTTTACGACTGCCGCAGCTATGAGTACGATGAATCCATTTTATTTAACCATCAACAAGAAAAGTTGTAAAAAATTCTAGTATGGGACCGATTTCAATAACGTACGCCAAATATTATTAGAAACTCAAGAAATTATAAAACATCTACTTATTTAGAACTTTTGCTATTGTATTTGATATTTGTATTAACAAACATAACTCAGAGAGTCAGAATAATATTGTATTTGTGCATTTTGTG